TAGTAGCTCCAACACATAATCCCTCAAAAATCCATACTGTACTTGGTAGTCCCCACTAATGATACGTTCAGCCATTGTCTTTGACCTAGCAACCTTTCGCAATGACATTCCTAGCTCTAGTTTCTTGCACAACTCTTCGTGTAAAGCTTTCACTGGAATTCTAGGTTACTCTGAATTTGTTAAACAATTAAGTTTGGTACGTATCTGGAAGTGAAATCTTTAACCGCCCTTGTTTGCAAACATTTATGCTCATCTTGTACTGTTTTCACCAACCAATCCTAATTTTCATTAGCCCTCGAGATTCGGACTGCCCATGGACATGTACCTTTATTAGTAATTACATCTTTACCCTTGAACTTTGCCCTACTTCTAGTTGAGGGCCCACCACCATCAACTGCTTTAGATGGCTTACTTACAACACCTTTACATTTCACCCTAATCCTGATTTTGTCATTTTTTGCTAGGTATAGAGACCTCCTTGTTTCTACGGCATGTGAGTTCATGAAGTTTTTAACATCATGCTTGGTTTTGAAGACCTGGCCAATCTGAAATGGTTTTACATGAACCTCTCCATGTGAGCATCTACTTGACTTACTCAAGTCTTTTAGCAGTCTCTTCCTATCATCTTCCTGAAATCCCGCATATTGACAATCATTAGACACAATAACTTCAAACTCATTATCAACCATGTCATTCCCTTCATCTGTAGAATGATTGTTTAAGATTCCATGTTCTTCTACATCAACAACATTATGGAATTCACTCATGTCTACATCTACATCAAATTGTATGTAAAACTCGTCTACATTGTATTCACTATCATCAGAATCATCTTCACTACCCTCAGAACCATGTCCACTCTCAGAATATAAAGCCTCTCCACTATCATCACTCACCATACCCTCTAGATAATCCACTTCTGGTTGTTGTTCACATGAAGATTGAACATTAAACTCAGCATCATAATCAGTATAAAGTGAATAATCCTCTACAAATGGTTCAAAGTCATCAACTGTTGTAGTATGAACTCCATCATCAGCTTGGCAACTTGGTTCCTCTACATGGTAAGTTCCCACTAGTTCTTCAGTTTCAACTGCACTAGTGATCACTTCTTCTTGAGTTTCAGTTTCATGATTGACCACTTCCTCTTGAATGACATGACTTTGTTTGCTAGCTTGTGACCTTATATATGGCAGAATACTCTTTGAGTAATCATGCCCTTCATCAACATCTAATACTTGTGACTGCTCATAATCAGGGTTCACAGACTTGTTAAAATCAAGCTTTCTACTACATGATCCTGCTTCTCTCCTACAAAGTTTCTTTCTATTCATTTCAGGTGACACATTATCAGGCTCCAACTCTTCAATAACAACTTTAGAAGGAGACCTGTAATAACTAGCTACCCTTATCTGGCCATTTTCAATATACACCCTTAAAAGTCTGTGTTTAGGGACATACGATACCATTTTAAGTACATCTTGGTCATTACCTAAAGGCATTAAGCCATAGTCTAAAGGGTATTCAGGGATACAGAAATGGTAGTAAAGGGTTTGCTCAGTTTTGTACCCTAGTTCTCGGACCATGTCATCAAGCTCATGAACTGAAAATAAATCAGTGTCAACATCATCTACATATGCTACAACACCATCAACGTATTTCCTTCCAGGTGCTTTGGTGAAGATACCACTGTAGTGTATCTTCAACATGAAATAGTTGTCATATCCTTCTGCAAACACAAAAAAAGAAAGGGTAAAGTCAATGATTTCTCTACGTGAACACAATCGACCAAGAAAAAACAATTTTTGTTGTAGTATTGTACTGTATCTTTTTCCCAAGTCCTGCACGGTTGCAATTTTTTCTCGAAAACACCATATTGATAGCACCATTGCAATTCCTTCTGCTTAAACCCTAAATCCCAAATTATGTTCTTGCTTCTACGATGGGAATGAACCCGATGATTACAAATGTAACTGGTTATGTTCTTGGGAGAGGGACGGGTAGTGGAGTTGACGTGCAAACAATAGGTAATCATTTCATATTAAAGAGAGAAGGTTACAACTTAAACGGCAAAATTTCCCCTACAATATAATGTTGAAAAATGAGTTAACGGTGAAATGCTAACAAAGTGAGCCGGAAGGACCAAATGTTAAAAGTTTTGAAACCACATGGACGATCCGTGAGGCTTTTGTAAATTAGGGACCAAAATTTAGATTTTGTGAAACCACAGGGACCATTTTTGAAGTTTTGTCTTTTTTTTTTATTTTTCGCTCTAGTGCTCTAGTGTACCAGAGTGGAGGGAGAGTTATAATCATAAATGATTATTAAGCGTCGTCCATTCCTTTTTTCCCCGAAACCTTCCCCACCACCACAACCGCCACCACCACTACCACGACCTCTGCCACCAGCCACTGTCACCTCCACCATATATACCACCGCCACCTTTACCACTACAATCTCATTTGCCAACAAACAGCATAATCATATATGATTACTCAACCTATGAACAAACATATATGTATAAATACGTATAAGAATACATTATTATACCTATCTACCATATAACCATCTATGATTAGGCATACTCCGTTGTTGCAGGTACACTAGAGTATTAGGGTGACAAATGAGAAATATGTGGCTGGGGTTGAATCTCAATATCTCAATTTTTTTATAATCTTAAGTGAACCGTACCCTATATATTATATATATATATAGATATATATATATATATATATATATATATATATATATATATATATATATATATATATATATATATATTATATATATATATAATATATATATATATATATATATATATATGCTCCGGTAACGACTCAAAAAATGGTGACAACTACGAGGACAATTTTACACCACCCATTTCATCAAAGCACAAAAATCAAACCCAATACTTGGTCATGACGCGTTCGTTTCTGACCCACGTCCGTGGTAATAAATATAGACTCTAGTATTTAATCACGTGCGACGAACGTCCATAGAACATCATTTAAGTGAGTTTTATTTTTTATTTTCATTTATTTTCGTTTATTTTTATTTATTTATTTATTAAAAAATAATATTTTTTTTCAACATATATATACTCGGATTTCAGGTTTTTTATTTTTATTTTTTCGATTTTTTATTTCTTTGTTTGCTTTATAAAAAATATATTTTTCTTCTTTTTTTTTTATTTTTTGTCTTTTTTTTCTTTGATTTTTTTAAAGGTCTTTAGTACATACATGAAAATACTAGTGTTTTTTTTTTTTTTTAATTTTTTATATTTTTTATATATTTTTTTTAATTTTTAAACTAAATATCGGTTCGAGTTGTTAGTGTTTAACAATTATAAAATTTTAAATAAGAAAAATATTAAGGTGCATAATATTTTTTGTTCATACTACTTTTGAATCATGTTATTTTTGGATCAAAAAATTTTGAATCAAATAATTTTTGAATAATATGATTCTGGATCAATAATATATTCAATTAAATAAAGATTTTGTTCAAAAAAATTATTTATCATTATATATTTTGAATAATTTAATTTTGAATCATAAAATATATAATTAAGGATTTTAAAATATTGAATCTAAATAGTTTTAGATTAAAACATATTGAGGATCATTAAAAAGTTAAATCAAAAGTTTGTTTTAACAGCCTTTTATGACGCGCAATGCGTGTCGTAAAACGCTCAGACGACGCGCAAATGCGCGTCAAGGAAGGCCCTGTCATAACGAGAGACGACACGCTTTTGCGCGTCATCTATAGACGACATGCATTTACGACGCGCATTTATGACACACAATGCGTATCATTAAAACCCCTGTCAAGAAAGGTCATGTCATAAATGAAGACGACACACATTTTTGCGTATCATAAATTTAAATGTTTAAAAAATATATATTTATATATTTATTAATTTTTAAATTAAATTTGCATTTAATGTCTCATAATAGAAATAAAATACCATATACAAAAAAATACAAATCCATTGCATAAAATTTAATGTCATACAATTCTATTTCTTACAATATATAAATTTGCATTCATCTAATCTACTCTGTGTTTCATACGAACAATTGAAATGAAGAATGCAACACTTGCATTTGCAGCATCTTATCTCTTTCAGCTTAAGCTTTCTTTTCCTCTTCTAACTCCAGAGCTATTTGCTTTCATCAACCCTGTAAACACAACACAAAATCACTTTGTTATTATAATTATATTATGATTCTAAAATAAAATAAGGGGGCCATATTCATATAATAGAAAAAGTAAAATAGCTTTCTAATAGTAGAAGAAATTTCACATACCAAAGCAACATAATTAGAAAGTGCTCGAGAGCGTGCATCCAGAGACTGAAAATAAACGGATACAAGTTGAAAAGATAAAAAGGACCTGATAATCATATTTAAAAATCACCAAGATTTACACCCATTTCTTGCATTCCAGATTGATCAGTAATGGCAGATACCTGTAAATTAGTAGATTATTAATAGTGTTTGACACGGTTTTAGAGAAAATGACAACAGATTTGGCGAAATGTAAAGAAAAAAAAATATTCAAGGCAAACTTGTAAACAGTTGGCACATTTTCTGCAAAGGTGTTCATTCTGCATCATGTCAAAAAGAAACATCTACATATAGCTTCCATGATTAAGTGCATGCTTCTTTTTGACTTGATAGACTTCATATTTGTTTTTTAACCTGTTAAATAGTGTGTAAAAATTAAGTTGTTATTTATATTATGTTTGCTTTTAAGTTACTAATCATGTTGTGATAATAAATAATTGCAATTGTATATAACTATTTATATCAAATAACCAGCCATTTACAATTTCAGTTTGTAAAAGTTCTTGATTAAACAGTCAGTTCTTGTTCAGCATCACTTCCAAACAGAAAGGGTAAAATGGTCATTCACTAACATCCAGACGATTAATCTTAACACAATCACATGAGAAATTTGTACCTTCATCATTCGACCTGCAATCTCCAATTTTCCATTTAAACTCTATGCAGCTCTGGCATCTTCAAGGCGTGCAAACTGAATAGTAACACAAAAAAATCTTGTTCTTCTTAATCCCTTTAAATCAATAAAAGCCAGCATCTAAAATCTAAATATATGGAAAAGTAAACTCACCTGAATGAAACCAAAACCTTTACAATTTCCAGTCTCATCAGTAGGTAACTGCACCAGCTCTACAACACCAAATGATTCAAACACCTTAAATCTAAACATAAGGAACCTACAACCTCATATTCATATCATTCTTAACTCTATATGTATGATAATAAGTAAAATTGTGTATTTAATTATTACCTTGGCTGTCACAAGCTCCCATAAAACAATCGCAAAATTGAAAACATCCGCCTTTTCATCATATTGTTGATGATTTATAACCTGCAAACCACGACAATACATAAGTAGCTCCATTCATCATGGTAAATTTAGAGTTTAGAGGATGATTCACAAATTAGTTAGGGTTTATCAGTGAAAAAGGAAATATATTCAAATATTATATGTAAAGAGGAAAAAAGAGAAACCTCAGGAGCCATCCATCTGTATGTTCCAGTCTCTGCTGTCATAACTCCCCCTTGACTCAGAAACATGGCAACCCCAAAATCTGCCACCTTCACAACCTAAAATTAAAATGTTAAATTAAATTTAAAAAAAAACAGAGAAACATTTTGAGTGTCCATGAGCAAATTTGCAGTCTTGAGATCCCTATGAATTATGTTGGTTTCTCATTTGAGGCGTCCAACTCCTGAGAAGGCCTCTGCCTCTGATCAAGAAAAATTGGAGGAGGGTCAGCAGACGAAAAATGAGTCCCAAGAATCAGCTGGGATGGTGCTTGAAACTGAAACTGCTGGTGAAAGCAGCAGTGGTACTGGTAATGATGATCAAGTTCCTCCTTCTATTCCTTTGAATGGATCTAGAGGCACACCTGCAGTAGATGATGAATCTCAAGGGGGCACAAATGCAACTTTGGGACGGGCTCATGATATGCAGTTTGAGAGCAATGATAGTGGTGTGAGGGATGTTGAGGCTGTGAGCCAAGAAAGTAGTGGAAGTGGAGCTACATTTGGAGAAAGCCTTCGGAGTTTGGATGTTGAAATTGGAAGCGTTGATGGCCATGACAATGGTCCCACAAGGAGAGCAAATGTTGTTTGGATCAGAAGTTTAGGAACTTGGCTCCACACGTCCCACTTCTGCTTTAAAGTCCAAACCTGTGACACTCATCTTCCCAATATTAACTGCATATTTTTAAGGTGCTCATTATTCATTAACAACTGAAAAACACAAATCCCAGTGAGTTTGAACTAGATATGCTTACCAACAGCATCCAATCCAGTTAATTTGGGCATGAACTGCCTAATATGCCCTTCTGCTGCTTCATCGGCTTTAAGCGTTTCACACTCAAAAGAAATTGCAATCTTCCTCTTCTCTTGCTCCTTGGAAACTAAACTAACCACATCCTTCTCCCATCTGTCAAGAAATGGAAAAATTCATGAGTTTATTTGAATATTTACAATGTAAATAATGTCTAAAAGGATTCTTAATTTACATAATGAATACCCACCCATGAGCATGATCAATGTTACATAAGCGTGCAGCATCATGGCCTCTTCGTTCAACCACTACATCCCTTTCTTTCTTGCTCTGTAACAACATGTAAAAACTGATTACAAAAAAATTATATAAGTGCTTAAAACATTGAGCAAGCTAAAGATTAAACTTACATTGAAGTCTATTATTGTCAGTTTGACCAAATGGTAGTCTTCACCCCTGCTACATTCCCTTTCACATGCTATCTCTGTTTTCATGGCAACACATTTATTACCAAAAAGCATTGCATCTTTTAAAGTTCTTTCTACATGTTTCTACACTTGACAAATTTTAAATAGTAACTATTCAAGTGGAACATATATATGAACAAGAAAACAAAATGCATCTGAAAATTTTAAGACAAGAAGATTAAAATGTGATTTCTAGATGTACCTCAAGGTTGGAAACTCAGCCTCCACAGAAGACTCGCCTGCTTCATTTCCATTTTCTGGATTATTTGTAAATGAAGACCTGCTTTGGGTTTGTGGGTTTGTGACAGTTGGCGCTGGTCTGTCAGTCCTCTGTGGAAAAATTGCTCCAAGGCGCTGAAACATATAGAGCAACATAAATCAAGAAAATATATATTTCTTCCAAGAAATCTCAATCAAAAATTTCAAGAAAATATATATTTTTCTAACATAACTTACCAATAATACAAGAAGATATATGAAGAAACATAAATCAAAAAGTTCTAGAAAGATAAGAGCAGAGGTTTTCTTTGTGCTTACTGTTAATACAAGAAGTTGAACTTTTGGATTCTTGCTTCCAAGACACTTTTGTATGCCTTTAACAACATCCTTAGCTTGCCTGAATAGCAATTACATCAATGTTAATACCATATGAAGATATATACATATTTGCTTGATCTTCCGACAACAACAAGCAGCGATTGGAAGAACTTGCGGATTCAAAATCTTATGGGAAAGTACCTGATTGTATACTTCAAAAATAAAATGACTTTTAACAAAAATTTGGAAAGAAAAACCACCCAAATCAGAAAAAACTCTTACACAGATCAAACCATGTGATCTTGATAGAAAAATAAAAACTGAATACAAATTAGGGCTCACATAATCAAATCTAGAAAATGAAATCACCTTTAAGAAAACGGTGGAGGCATATTATCTTGATAGCAAAGATGATTGAAGGGGGTCGATTGGGCAGAGTTATAAGATCGCTTGTGGTAGGGAGGCAATAAATGGATGAACAAGCCCTAACAAATCCAGAACCGAGCAACGTGTGGTGATGATGGAGCGTAGCCACGATTTGAGGTTCGGGAGTGGTGCTTCTAGACAAAGAACCACCGAGTGCAGATGCGTAAGTAAGAGAAGCTGATGACATCACGTGAGGATGGTTTTGGCTCGAAACGTAAAGCTTACAAGGAAACCAGATCTTGGTGAAGACCAAAATATGCAAAGAAATAGTGTGTTCGTCGCCCCTTACGTGTTTTGAACCAGGAGAGAGGGATGAGATGGAAATACGAGAGTGAGAGAGAAAAAATTAGGGTCGGATTTAGGAACCCTAAATCATCGGCTCAAATTGATAACTGGGAGGTAAGAACCCTAAATATTAGGGTCGAATTAAGAGTGTAAGAACTTGTTGGAACCGAGAATTAGGTTTTTGGTGGAGGTGATGAATCGAGGAATTGAGGAAGCTGTGGATGAAGACGAATGCCCTAATTCGAAGAGGCGGGGAATTTTTGGGATGAATAGGCGGGGGTTAATTTTTTGGATTTCATTTTTCCCCCTAAAAACGCGTGTTTCCTAAAAAAAATATAAAGCGACACAGTTACACGACGCACATTTTTTGATAGGTGCCCTCCGTATTTTTTTTTCTGACACTAATTTTAGGGTACGCAAAAATGCGTATCCTCTATCCTTCAAATTTTGGAAAACCGACATTAATTTTTAGGGCACGCACAAATGCGCGTCCTCTATCAGTGTGTGTCATTAATTGCGCGTCGTAGAATGCTATTTTTCTAGTAGTGTCATGACGCGTTCGTTTCTGACCCACGTCCGTGGTAATAAAGACAGACTCGAGTATTTAATCACGTGCGACGAACGTCCATAGAACATCATTTAAGTGAGTTTTATATTTTATTTTCATTTACTTTCGTTTATTTTTATTTATTTATTTATTTAAAAATAATAATTTTGTGCAACATATATATACTCGGATTTCAGGTTTTTTATTTTTATTTTTCGATTTTTTATTTCTTTGTTTGTTTTATAAAAAATATATTTTTCTTCTTTTTTTTTTATATTTTGTTTTTTTTTCTTTGATTTTTTTAAAGGTCTTTAATACATACATGAAAATACTAGTGTTTTTTTTTGTTTTTTTTTATTTATATATTTTTTTTCTTTATTTTTTTTTTAATTTTTAAACTAAATATCGGTTCGAGTTGTTAGTGTTTAACAATTATAAAATTTTAAATAAGAAAAATATTAAGGAGCATAATATTTTCGTTCATACTACTTTTGAATCATGTTATATTTGGATCAAAAAATTTTGAATCAAATAATTTTTGAATAATATGATTCTGGATCAATAATATATTCAATTAAATAAAGATTTTGTTCAAAAAATTTATTTATCATTATATATTTTGAATAATTTAATTTTGAATCATAAAATATATAATTAACGATTTTAAAATATTGAATCTAAATAGTTTTAGATCAAAACATATTCGGATCATTAAAAAGTTAAATCAAAAGTTTGTTTTAATCATAAATAGTTTGAATAATCACATATTGGATCATATTATATTCAATATTTTTTTTAAAACTAATATTTCTTAAAATTAAAAATAAACACTTTAAAAACTTTTTTTGAAAATTTATTTTTATAAAGTCACTAGTATATATTGAGTATAAGTATCCCTTAAATTTTTTTGATTTTTGGAGAAATTTATATATATATATATATATATATATAGATATATATATATATATATATATATATTATATATATATATTAATATATTATATATATCTATATATATATGGATTCAAAAGTCATGATTGTGCTCATTTTGTAGAGAATTAAATTTTAAGAACTTCGGTTTTTTTCAGATTTATTTTCAATGAAAAAAAAAAGTTACGGCCAAAAGGTGAAGTGGATGGGAAAAAACCCACCAAATGAGGGTTTGCCATGTGTCAGAGATAGAAAAGAGAAAGGGGGGGGGGGGGGGGGGGAATGGAACTTGCGTTTGGCTGGTTTTTTTTTTTCCTTTTTACCTATTTAACCTACAAACAATTAACATTTGCCGTAAAATACCAAAACCCCGCACATAATTACAAAACATCATATTATCTTGCGAGATTTTGACGATAAATAAAATTAAATCCTAACCTTTTATTTTTTTTCAATCTTACGGCATTGATTTGTAAATGCAACCCTCATTTATTTTTGAGTCCTCACTCAATATATATATATATATATATATATATATATTATATATATATATATATAATATATATATATATATATATATATATATATATATATAGAAAGGAATCATTTTTCCTTGAACCTCATGCATTTGAACCCCCACACCTTTTCATCTTCAAAGTAATTAATTACACTTAATCTCATTCCAAGAAAGTTACACACTCTAGAAGTTGATCTGCCGTTAGCCACTTTGCTAATATTTACAATTTAAGCCACTCAATCAAGCTCATATTTCAAAGGCTAAATAAAATTTAATTTTTGAAAATACCATACAAAAAATCAAGAGATAAATTCATACAACTTTTTTCCTTTTGTTTTGGAACCACTATTTTTATAGAAATTCCACATATGCTACGTATTGTATAAGTATATAAGTGAACAATTAAAAAAAATATAAAGTATTTTCTGTTTTTGTTATTATTGCTAGCTAGACAAACATATAGACATATATTTCGTTTGCAAGTTTGATATCTATCGATCTATATATCTTTTGCTGATATTTACAATTTAGGATCAAACATCCATATGAGATAATGATAATTTCATTAAAAATTTAAGCCACTCATCGAAGCTCATATTTCAAAGGCTAAATAAATTCAATTTTCGAAAATACCATACAAAAAATCATGAGATAAATTCATACAACTTTTTTCCTTTTTTTTCGAACCACTATTTTTATAGAAATTCCACAGATGCTACGTATTGTATAAGTATATAAGTGAGCAATGAGTATTTTTGTTTTTATTATTATTGCTAGCTAGACAAACATATAAACATATATTTCTTTTGCAAATTTGATATCTATCTATCTATATATCTTATAAAGCAAACATTTTTCTTTAAACCTCAATCATTTGAAACAATCAAGATTATTCAACTTATACAATTTAATTTATGATTAATTGAAATGTTGTGATTTGTAACTCCCAAAACTCTTCATACCATGCTATTTAATTGATGGGCTAAATGAAATATTTACCCTATATAAGAACATTATAGCTTACATATTGCATGTATGTCAACAAAAAATTATAGATTATATTGGGAGGGTTTGAAGAGTTATGTGAGTGGTTCCATGGATGTAAGAGAGCAATTAAATTTTTTTCGAAATGCAAATGCAAGTAAACTCAAATTGGGTGCATGTAAAGTTTTAGATTTTAACCAAGCTTCAAAATTAGGTATGTGCTTAACGGTTTACTTGACATCATTTTTTTAAGTTTATGTGTGACAACCCGAAATTTCCATTTGAACAAACTCTACCGTCTAGCACTTCAATTAAAAGTCAAATTCTTTTCTGCTAATTTTTAGCTCGGTTTAAAGTCCGGTTGGGTATTTTTAATATTTATTTTCTTGAGAGAACAACTTAGAGGAAGTATACTTTAGGATTAATTGTGCAACATTTAAGTCACAAAACTCCAAGAGTTTGGAGTTTTCGGCCCAAAATAGTGTTAGGGCCAAAAACCATAAAGGGTATATAAATGACACTTAGTCATTTTTAGTCATTTTTCCCATTTCCAAGTCAAGAACAATTCTCTCTCAAGTATCATCCGAATTTTTGTCAAGATCTTCAAGATTGTAAGTGTTTCCTTCCTTGTTTAGTCGATCTCTTCCATTATCTAGTGATCTTACATGATTTCATCCATGAAATCATTCCATTTTCTTAGATCTTCAAGTGTTCTTCAAGAACACCAAGAACACCAAGAACACACACTAGTGTTTTGGGCCGAAAACACCCTTCTTTGCTTCCATATTGTAAGTATCTATCTCGTATACTTGTTATCTAGTAAGGATACTTGATTTAGGGCCTTGAAATCGTCATTATCCAAGAACAAAAGGTGTTTTCGGTCTAGTGCATCTCTTTAGACCGAAAACCCTTATGAAGGTTGCAAAATGACTTTAAGCCTTTCCTAATGCTTAGTATTGAGTCTAGAACACTTCATTGATTGTTGAAAGCCCTTAAAAATCACCTTATGCACCAAAAATCATGAGTTTTCGGTCTTAAACTCAGGGAACGAAAACCCTAAAAACCGAGAACCATTTGGACCGAGAACCATTTGGACCGAAAACCTCTTTGGACCGAAAACCATATGGACCGAAAACCACTTGGACCGAAAACTCCCTTAAGTGGCTTTACAACGCTTAGATGCAACCCTTAGTACTTCTAGCACTTGAATCAAAGTGTTTTCCATGTCCTAGGGTGTCTTAACTTGGTTAATTAGTTGTTAAATGACTAATTGGATACATATATGTGTTATTATATGTTAAATAGGATTCGTGTGTGTGCTCAAGTCTTCACTTAACACTTAGCATCCTATACCATCCGTTCATCCAAAACACTCACTACAGGTGAGTTCATACCCCTAAATCAACCTTTTAAATGATTTTAAATGCTTTTATCGGGGGGGGAGGGGGATACAAGTTGAACTATTATAGTTATTATATCAATTACATGTGATTAATAACTACCAAACAAGTGGATTTCTTACTTTTCAAACTGTTTTGCAAACTCTTTTACATGTTAAATACTTTCTATTCAAACTCTTTTAAACTTATACTTTTTCAAATGTGTATCTATATAGATATAGTTATAAAAGTAGGATTGAAAGGACTTAGGACTGATAGCTCGCCTTGCTTCCTGTTCCTTGTTTGGTTGTGGACTTAGGGTATCGGTTATTTGTCCGAAGGTCGTTTGAATCCTAGTTATATATTATGTATATGTATATAGATATAAAAGTTACTTCTTTCAGTTCCATACCTTTGGGTAGCAAAGGTATACAAACATGTTCATTTATACAAACAACATTGCTAGTAAACTATACTAGGTATAGTTTAGGAAGTTACAAATGTTATTACTAGAACAATGAAACATACAATGAGTCAGTTCATAC